TGTAGTAGTTAGAAAATTGTTTGTAGATAAGGAATTAACGTTCATGAGTGTTCAAGAGTGATTCATTTTCCAATTATAGGGAGAAATAGGTGAGTGGTATAGTCCACCCTACCCACCCCACATTGTACATGTGGCTAGCCCAAAAAAATATTAAAAAATGGAATTTTCGAATTTTGCTCCCACGTAGTGATTAGAAAATCGTTTGTAGATGAGTAATTTATGTTCACGAGTGTTCAAGAGTTGTTCGTTTTCCGATGATAAAGGGAAATTAATTCTATCATGGTCGAACCCGCTCTAGCCATCACGTGACCTGATTATATACAGTTACTCCCCTCCTTTACCCCCTTCGTCGTACATGTTGCACTATATGTTCCAAAATATGACAGATTAAAATAAATAATAATCAACTGACCTTCCTCTCTCAATGGAGAATGAAAAGGATAATTCATTAATGACAAGTACGTAGATGTCGGATAGAGCTTACATTTAAGCGTATAAAAACGGATTGAATTTCAATTTATGCAATTTTATAATTGAACTTTGAGAGGGCAAAGCCAATGCTAGTTGAATCCGTTTTGATAGAAAATGAAAACGACAATTAATGTATTACACGTACATATGTCATAGCATACTACCAAGTTACTGAGGTCAGTATAACGTGTGTAAGGTAAGTATTGAAGCATAGAAAAACTGTGTTTTATTTTAATTGAAAATTCGTGGAATTCTTCTAGGTTAGGAATTTTCTAACAGTTCCCCGGGAAAAGGAGTTCGGGTGGTGAATGGTGACATCATTTTGACTAGGTAAAGAATGGAAAATGCAAATAATGAATTATCATGAGAAAAATCCTCTCATTATGACGAAGGACTCCAACTGGAAGGTATATTTCTCATCTGGAGCTCAAGACTTCATCTTTGCTCTCTAGGAAGCTGTTATTTCTCCTCAAAGTTTGAGGGTCTATTCAATGATTAGTCAATAATAAATAAAATCAATACATGTGGGAATGAACACTTTACATGGCGGAACTACACGGCTCCATAAACGAAACCTTGGTATTTACTCCAAGGATAAAACCAAAGTTACTCTGTAGGTTGTACCACGTCTAGATTTTTGGGCAAGAAATATCAAGTTGTCGGAATGACAGAAAACAACCACATTCAATATTGGATACTGTGGTGAACAGAAAGAGTTATGATCTCGGAAGAACTCAGGAGAAAATACAAAATTTGCTGAACAAACTGGTGTGAGGGATTTTTATCTGAATATCTGAAAATAGTGTGAAATCAATGTACCGAGAATGATCTTGCAGTACGTTTTAGGGTTATTGAATTCTTTTAGTTTTGTTCAATGTAGTTATGGAATGTCTTCGAGAATTAGAATTCCGTAGAATATTTGTTCATGGAACCAATAATAACGTAGAAAATTTGATTGAATTGTAATGTCCTTGTCGAAAATCCACGAGTGTTTTGATTCTAAAATGAAACAGGTTGATTTGATAGAATATTAAATGTCAAGTAACTTGAAAATTAATTTTTTTGTTTCTAGAAAGAAGGAGTGGGAAGAATTTCAGGGGCCGAGAGACCCAACAAGGGAGACATTTCAGAATTTAAGAGGGGCACCAAGTCTAGGAAGAAATTTCAAAAGCGAAAAATCCACCAATCCGAGTGGCTAATTTCAAGGACCATGAGGACACTTCAGAATTCCCCAAGGCTCAAACATCACAAGGATCGTGATCTGTGAAATTCCCCTACTCAGCTGGGGGAGCCTCTTAGCCCCCAAAATTTTCCTTTTGGCTAACCTCTGGGCTCTTGAAATCCCTCTCTTTGCTTGGGGGACCTTTTGGCCTCTGATATCCCCCCTTTAGTGGACCTCTTGGCTTTTCTCTAGGTTCAGTCGACCTTGTGGCCTCTGAAATATCTCCCTTGCTTAGGTGGATCTGGTGGCCCCAGAAATTGCTCACTAGTTTTGGTAGGCCTAAAATTTCCCTCTTCATGTGCTTCTTAGCACCTGAAGTTTGTGGCAATTGGAAATGGACAACCACCATGTGTGTGAAACTCCGGAGTGTGACACTCTGGAGTGTCACAAGCATGGTGCGAATAGACTGTGCCTTTTTACTGGGTATTATTGCCTCCGCTTGGAACGTCTAGTGCCTCACCAGTTAGGAAAACTGCATGCACTATGCAGGAGCACGTACAATTAAGTAGTAATCTATAGTTGACTGTTAACTCGGAATGATGACAGTTGATAAAAATTTTCGCAACTATTTCAGAGACTGGGAGTACGGTTCCAATGTTAGGCTCAGTGAGACTAAATAAATTTCGGTCATCATTTCTCCTTAGAGTGTTTTATCCTATCTCGACTCAATTTAACTATTATTTAATCTTTCCTTTCAGTTTGGGAGTTCCGCAGGCCCTTAAAAGATGCCACCGCCACGTCTAGTACCTGTTGTGGTTGCAGTTGAAATTTTGATAAAATTCATCAATTATTTCAAGAATGCAGAGTTACTGGAGTACTCATCTTTAGTGTGAGATGATTTGGCTAACGAGTACAATGGGGCCTGGGATAGACACTGCTGGTGGGTTAATACCACGAAGGATAGAGAGGGCATCTTATCTCAAGCACGAAAGAAGTTCAACATTGTTATTCCCACACCGTACTAGTAAATCTGCCCCCCAATCCATCAATAGTGATACTGATAGTTCCTTCGAGTTTTCGGGGATGGAAGCGAATGATGAAACTTCGTGGTTTGATTTGGTGTTAATGAAGGAACAATGGCGTGCGATAAAGGCAGATGATGTTCAACCCAATAAAGAGAATGCAGCGGAGAATTCCCTACAACCTGATAGTTGGACGGATGTTGTTGCTGGTGCATTTCACAAACAATTTAAATTGCCTTGTGCATTTTCATTCAAAAGACGTAGAATTTCACAAAAAAAGTGGTACCTCAGAATCGACGGGTATTGTCGTGCCAAAACCTGTGACAATCTTTTTTTCGGATATTTGGATACCCAGCCATCAGAGGACGATGAAGACATTTTGATTCGTGTTAAGACGTGCGATACATCGCGGGAAATCCACGAAGATTGTAAGCGATACTTGAGAGGAAACTTGAGGAGGAAATATGGCAAGCGAGCTCATGAAGAGGGTACCACTAATTTCTTGAAATGATTCAGGAGAGAACAAATGGAAAGAGGTGATATCGATGGTCCTCTTCTTCCGTCAAATGATGTAATACGCTATGCAAAGATGGAACACGTTAATCGGAAGCTTGGTATTCAGAAGAATGATGATAAGGATGCGGTTCAATCTATTTTCGAAATGCGATTCGAGCCATGCTACGAAGGATCAATTGTTGCAATTGGATATAATCCGTTCTACACGTGTTACAGTCACCCTGAGCAAATCAGTTTGTATAATCGTTTCCGTGAAATCACTGGAGATTGCTCATGCATAAGTATTGACGGTACTGGAAGTCTTCTCCGAAAGTTCGTACGACCACACAATATTCAATCTTCCCACGTCTTTTTACATTCTGTCGTAATTCATTTCAATAACACCATCGTCTCAGTCTATCAAATTTTATCTGAGTCGCAAGAAGCGGAAACCTTCACATTTGGATTACGTAAATGGGTGCGTTCAATATCCACGAAACCCAAACAATGTGTTACCGACTATAGTCGGACCCTGTTATCTGCCTGTGCAAAAGTTTTCAACGACGTCACAAAAAAAGAGTACATTGAGATTTACTTCTCTTATCTCCGTGGTGAAATCACGCGAATAGAAGACTACATAAGTACGTTTTTGAGGGTAGATGTGGCTCATCTTACACACGCAGTTTGCAGATGGGAAGCAACAAAGAAAATCAACAGGGGAGAAGTCAGGGACTTCCTAATACGTTGTGTGGCTCTCATGGTTGATTGTCAACATTTAGATCAGTTTGAAGAGATTTTCATATTGACCTGCGCAATTGCCACTGATGAGTATGAGGATACAATGCTCGATTTACTCCATGGCAAAACAGTGAAAGACGCTAGAAGAAGGTTGGAAAATTATACAGCCATCCGTAAGACTCGCATTGACGGGTATTTAGAAATGACCAATGACGATGAAGACGAAAACGAAAACATCACCACGTTGACGAAAGATGCAGTCGACACAGAAGACGCACCTAATGTTAGTACTTTCATCTCAAGTCTTGAAGCAAGAGCCAAAGCAACAATCAAAGAAGGCAGCGAGCCAAACGCTTTCTATGCTCCAGAATTTATGAAGAAATTGACAAATATATCGAAAAAATTCGTGCTGTGGATGGCGGTTGGGGTACCATTCTTCATCGGCCATGCGAAAAGTTGTTACAGTGAAAAGAATTTTCAAGACTTGAAAACGAATGTATTGGAGAGATACAGTCGTAGAATTGGAGTGGAGAAGTTCTTGAGGATACATATGCAAGATTTAATCGGTGGAACTCGTGCTTTGCAATCGAAATTGCTACTATTCAGTAGTAGCGGTACTAAAGTATCTGACCTCAAACGAAAACCATTGAATTTGAAACGTAGGAACAATTTTGACATTATCGATGATGATAATGATTCAACAAAATTCGATTCAACAGAAATAATAGAGAACTCAATTTTAGACATGAACATGAATGATTCAGATTTATTCTCTCGAGAAAACTGGAGAGGGAAAACTGCTATAAATCTATTCCATCAAGAGAATATATATGAACGTCAATGAAACTGTTCTAACAGTATTGAGCATGAGGGGAGAACTTTTCAAGGTTCTTTAATGACCCATCACCTAGTGGAGATCTAATCAATCAAAAAGTGAAAAATCATCGACATTACTTGTAGAATTCGTCAGAACTGATTCCTTTGTTTCCTCAGTTTTAAAATGGATAATTGCGATTTTTCAGAAATGTAGAAAGAAAAAAATTATTGTATATTGAGTCAAAAAATTTTATGAGAAAAAATATTGATAGAAGGTGTTAGTTATTTTACAAATTTTAATAAAAAAAATGAATACCAAAAATTCTTCAAATCTCCTGCGCATCGATGCATACCTCTACCTCTACCTCTACTACTGCTACCCAGGCAACAATTTCATCCGATGCAATGTTGAAGTTTCCATGAGGACTGCCAGATATCCGATAATTGATCAGTGAATTGTTGGCTGGGTACTGTCTTTATCAAAATAGTTTTTAGAAATTCCTCGCCGCAAAGAAAATGAAAAAGTAAGACAAAAAAACTAGGTACTCCCAAACCGCTGGCTCTCGGGGACAATCGAAGGTATTTCTTTAATATATAATAATCATAATATCTGATCTGTCAATAATAATACTAATGATAATAATATCTGATCAAGCAATAACAATAGCGGATCAATCAGGAGATCAATTGATGAAATAGTAAAATAGCCACTGTATCTAAAAAGGTATGAACAATAGTATTGACCTCTTGTCTGACCTAAAATTAGTGATGACTGTTATATGATACTGTTACAATGTTAAATCCTTATTTAATGACAATAAATGCATTAATAACTACATCAATGTCTCCAAATAATCTCGATGTAGCCTTCTCCATAGAGAAAATTGGTATATCCCACAGAATATCACAAAATCATTGGGTCCCACATTATTGGGCATTAATCGACATTTCCAAATTCAATGAAACGCACAAAGAGTATTAAAAAAGTGCGTCAACTATATAGAGGTAGTGAAAAACTTCTACAAAATATTCAAAACCCCCAAACATGAAAATACATATCAAAATTTTGATAATTTTTTTTCTTACGAAAATTTTAATGAATCTGGAAATGATTCTCCAAAGAGGTTTTCAGATGAATGGAATACTTTCATTCCGATATTTTTTTACTCTCAACATTTTTTTCTTATCAGTTCTTTCGTTCTTGAAAAACGTTTAGACGTTAGAAATTTTTTTCAGCTTTCATTCTCTGAAATGTCAGGATTCCAGGATAAACACAGATAATTTTTCTTTAACAAATCTTTCTCTTCATTTTTTATGATTTTTCTTTGAATGTTCGAATGGTCCACAATAATGGGAACTCCAATAATTAATTGCTGTATTATCTTCCACTCCCACACTCCGAAGATGTTATGTCATTAACCAGATTATGGAAGCTAGCAGGTGATGATTGGGAAAGAGAGAGGGGACGTCTTGAACCAGATACATTGGTCCCATTCCCCTGAGCATTCCGAGATGAATGGTCTAGCTGTCGAGTTCAATCGAGAGTCCTCCCGTAAGAATTCTACAACATGCCAAAGAGTTTAATCACTTGAGTGTATTGGTTTCATTTTTATTTTATAATAATTCATTTGAACATTGAATTAATTATTTCATTTTCTTCAAATCATTCTTCATCCTTTCTTACAATTAATTTCAATCAATCACTTTTTCGTCAATATTAAGCTATTCTCGCTGCCCTTTTTTTAATGAAATGAATATACTTGTGATTGAAGAAGGAGACATGCCAAATGAAGCCAATAGAATAATAAATTATAATGAAATGAATAATACTTCATAACTATGGATGAATTTCGATCTGAAGCTGAAAATCTTTGCTTTTTTTTCACTAGTCATTCAGGAAACAATTGGTAATTCAGAAGATAATGAGTGCTGAGAAGAGAGAAATGAAATTCAGTGAAGATTGTTGCATAATTTCTATTGAAAGACTCCAGAATATACTAGTAAATACCTCATTCGGAGGTTACATCACTTCATCAGGAATTACAATATGACAATGAAGAGAGAAGAGCATTGGGGGCTGTCGAGAACCCTCCAGCGGACAAGGGGAGGAAAGTCTGAGGGTTAAAAAAGGGAAAATCTCTCTGGAAGAGAGGAAGAGATCGAGAATTCTGGGGATGTAGAAGATTACTGAAGTGAGAAAAAGTGAAAACGAGAGAATGATGAAAAGCTGAAAGATAACAAGTACCAAGGGATGTTGTACCATTTTTTTATGTCGATGTGCGCCACTGAACGTGATGATTTTCCGCACTTTATTCATGAAATATTCTTCTTAATATAGATTGCACCATGTGGCTCCAGAAGATAATTAGCGTCACAAGGCCCGGTTTGTCCCACAAATCATTGTAATGCTCCCACCGTCCAGTGACTCTATAGCAGCACGCTATGTAATGTCTGGACAGGTGTATATCCGATTACTGCTGCTAATCTGTAATCAACAATAAATAATTTATTTAACGAATACACCAGTGAAAAGACCTACGAATTGAACTGAGAGGAATAGATTGAAGTTGGAGAAATGAAAAACAGTGAAATTCGCCATTGGATTCTTTGCATGGTGTTTTTCCTTTCAAAATAGATGTGAAAAAAAAATGTACGAAATAAATGTGACAGGCGAATTGGATGAATGGAAAAAGCCAATAGAATAATAAATTATAATGAAATAAATAATACTTCATAACTATGGATGAATTTCGATCTCAAGCTGAAAATCTTTGCTTTTTTTCACTAATCATTCAGGAAACAAACGTATGCCGTTTGTCACAGAATATCCCATACGTATTTGTCGATCTTTTTAATCACAATAAATTCGATAGATTATCCTAGAGCTTTCTCGATGAGCTAGATGACCACAAAACAGATCTTTCAATTGTGAGAAAATTCTAGGAGATTGCATACAATCCAGCATCTCTTCGAATAATATTCTAAAAAATTTAACGATTCCAGAAGAATTTTCGACCTTCTAGAGAATCTGGTAGAGATCCAAAAAGTGATCTTGAGAATTTTTGAAAATTCTAGGTGATTCTAAGCGTTCCTTGGGAATTCCCAGAAGATTCGACTTTTCCCTTAAAGCCTGTAGGCATTCTTACGATTTTATCAGACCGTGATTTCCCAACGCATAATGCAAACCTGTATTCTTCATTGTGCAAAGTGATGATGATCGGAAACTCGTAGCCGGCACTTCTGTGACGTCTTCTTCTGAAGGTCTGGAGTATCCAATTCAGTATAAATATGATTGTTGAGAGTACTTGTTAAATTGCCCGTGCCGTTACATCTTCGGCAGTATACATTTCGGATTGTAGGCTGCCAATCGATTGCACTCTGTAGACCTCGGAAACCTCGACGCTTGACTATTTCATTGGTGACGGACAATGCTCCGATATCTCTTTTCTTGGCAGTCTTACATGTGCCACAGTGCAGCACTTCTGTTGCACTTGGCTCGAATTTAAAAGTTTTCTCGTAAATAGTCCTCATATTAGACTCAGCATTGAAATGTCTCGAAATACTACCCTTTTGAGTTATTGTTTCGTTCACTTGAAAATGAGGTAGTAGAATTTCCATTCGTTTTCTAAGTATACTCATTGGAGGAGTCTCGGTGAAAAAATAATTAATGTATTCTAAAATTTCATGTGGAGATTGCTCAATATATCGACGGTGATACTCGAAGTCCACACCACTGGTCACGAAAATGCGAAGGATGGAGTCAAATGCGCAGGTGCTATAGACGGAATGGACTACACCATTAATGGTAACTGAAGGAGAAACTGAACCATTTCGTAAGAAAAAAATCTGCGTTAATTTAGGTCTCGATTTGATTCTGTTCGGCAAATTTTCAGATTTTATGAGTCGTTGATTTGATAATTTGACTCCTTCGAAAGGTTTGAAAAACTTGGCATTTGACAGCAGCCCAATGGGATTAGTGAGCTCTGCGGCTAAATTATTATTACAGTCTTGAGCTGTTTCGTAATTAGCTTTAGGTGTTTCAATATCCTGTTTTGTCGGAGATTCTCTTGATAATTTGGGAAGCGGATTGCCATTTCCATCATCTGTATTGAGTTCGATCTGACCAACACCTTCGAATTCTGGCTCTACTGGACTCGATTCCTTTTACGCAATCACTTCAGCTACCAATAACTCCAACTCCTGTGACTGTTGCGAGGTTGAATCTTGAGTATCAACTGTCGTGTGTTGTGATTCGGCAGCTTCCGCAGGTTTGTCATCGGATTCAGGTGATGCAGGAAAAGTAATTATCGGCGAAGGCCCTCGAGACAATGAATGTTCATTATTATTCCCATCGTCTGGATCCGATTCGATGAAAATGAAATCAGTGAATTCTGGTTCTGCTGAATTGAACGACTTCATCCGCTTCAACTCCGGTGATATTGAAAGAGGCGGATTTATTGTCGGTTGAGGTGACCCTTCATCATTCGCGATAGATTTCTTTCTGCTCATCACATCTGGTGTCGTGCATGGCTCGCCCATTACATGCTTCAAATGCCATTCTAAAAATTTAACCACTGACAGTGGATGAGAATGACATTTAAGGAAACTCTCAGTAACAAAATCATTTGCGGATTGAGAGTGAAGTGTCTCGGGCTGGAGGATACGTGTCCAAAGTGGGAATCGGTTACACAAATCGAATAACTCAGTTCCTATGTCTGGAAGGAAATAAGCATTCAATTCCGCCCCCTTCTGAGTTGTTGCGAATGACCCAAGTATAATTTTCAATATAAACTCAGTAATATCCAGGGAGTTTCCATAAGGAAAAGTCAAAGTTTCGGGTGGAATCATATCTCTCATTCGCAGATCAGCAATCACATCCTCAAGTAAACTTTTAGCGGGCGAATTATTCCTTTTACATCTATCATATTCCTCAGACTTTGTATGGTGTATTTGAGAATTCGATATGAAATCGTTGATATTCAAACCACTTTTAGAGAACTCGTACTCCAGTTCTTTTCTCGCATCATCAACCGTTTGCTCAATTCCAGAGACGAGCGTGTCTTTGTAATTTTGGAATATCACAATACTTAACAATAGCAGGATACGTTCAAATCTCTCAAGACTGGGACTGGTTGCCAATAAGACGATTGACTTTATGTAAAACTTGCGTACACCACTTGCCTCAACATGACGGGCCAACTCGTCTAAAATTTTAAGTAGTTTTGTATTTGTTTTGTATTTGTATTTGTGGGCTCCTTACTGGTCCCGAATTAATAGAGTTTAATTATTTAGATTTGTTAACCAGAAATATCGAGGTGGCAAATACTGTTACGCCCTCCCTGCGATATATCTTTTCTCTTTTGTTCTTTTGTTAGCCTTGTTGAGACAAAATAGCAGTTTTCTCAGTTATTGCAGAGCTCGATCGCTCATAAATTTACTTTATTTCGCATTTATCAATCACATTGAATGTATCGTGGGCTCCTTATTGGACCCTAATTATTATTTCATTTATTATTTGTTTATCGTGGGCTCCTTACTGGTCCCTAAATATTATTTCATTTATTATTGAATTAATTCGATTATTTTTAGTTACAGGTTTGGATACCTAGCGGCGCTTCGAACGAGAATTACCGCAAGCAGCGACTGTCGCTGGGATAGTTGTGCGCATGACCTAACGCAATGTCATAGTGACACATATTTTCTCTGAGATAAGTATTTTCAAAGTGTACATTTGTTAAGTTTCCAATGGACTTTTATTATTTTCAGAATTATTGATTTTTCTGAGGTCATGTTTTCGAGTGACAACAGGCTGTCAACGTATATGAGAGGAGTAAAATAGGTAAATATTTATTTATTGACTTTTTATATTTTTGATTATTTTTAAAGTGTTCTGTTCCTCTCCACATATTTTAATCATAAATTTTCATTGCTTAGATTTCAATATATTGGCTTTTGTCAAAGTGACAGGTGAGGTTATGTTCCCCATGGTTCTGTTTTGACTGAGTTTATTTTGAATGTATTGTTATATAGTCTCTCAGTTGTATTGTTTATTTTATTGAACTTTCCATTTGAATAGTTATTCCGATTAATATTACCTTTTCTCAAGGAGAGAATAATAGCTTTATTTGCTTATGAAAAATATTTATTGAATTGAGACATTTAAATTGTCTATATTATTTGCATTGTCATTCTGAAATGATGAATCTGATGTATTTATTTATTTACTGTTATTTTCTCCTTTTCCAGGATTATTATTTGGACATCAGAGTAACTGGCTACCTTGTGCGTAACTGTAAGTACGTAAAATTTTATATCCATATTTATTTATTTTATAAGGTAGCTGAAATAGAATATGTATTATTTCATGTAAATGATTATATTATTTTCCCTTTTCAGGAATGCACTTGAGGCATAGGAACATTAGGACGATCTGCCCTAAAGAAATATATAAGAGTGAGGTATGATTCTGCTTATTATGGTAACTATTAGTGTCGCGAGGACGACGATGATTAAACAATATTTCTTATTAATTTGACATGCCTGTATTATACCTATTTATTTAATTTGACTCTGCAGGGTCTGTTCTGAGGCTTAGGATGCTCGGGATGGGCCAGAAATATTTATTCTGCCAAATATTAATTTATTTTTCGTGTATGCAGGGTAACACGTGGGAAAGCTTTTTGAGGAAGGACACCAATGGTCTCTCGAGCTTTGGAAGGGAGTGCAGTAGTCATCAGGCATTTCTGGGAGTTGGGAAGCATGTCGATGCTGTACCTGGACACTCTGGATAGGGCAGGATAAGGAAGCATTGGGAATGTGGTAATTCCATTAGTATGTTTTGTTATTTTATTTTATTTTCATTAATAGAGGTCATTGTCGTGTGTATTTATTCATTTTCTGGGAATGTGTTGTCGATAGGACGATTGTAGAGCTCCGTGAAGTGGGCACCCCACTTGGTTGGATTTGAACCAAAATTTCATAATCGATAGATTTTGAGCTACTCGTGATAGTAGTAACGTTTTTCTTGTTTGTAGTTTGAAATTGAGCGGCCCATTCGTTTTTGAAATACAGTTAGGAACTATTCCATAGTTAGAGCTAGAGTGACATCGGATTCATGTCTGCAATTGTTTGTAGTTGATTGTAGTTTTGGAATCTTCATAATCGGAAATCAAATGAGCGTCCAATCGATTTTTGGAGACCAAGTAGGAACTGATTGAAAGCTATAGCCAGAATGAGCTCGGATTCCTGTCTAAAATCGTTTGTAGTTGTTTGTAGTGCTCACAAATTTCCAATGCACCGAGAAAACGGGGTGGCAGACAGTTGATATATGTAGAAGGATTTGTTTGTAGTTGTTTCTAACAGTGAAAAAAATGAAAAACCTTATAAACCAACGTTCATACTTGATTGTAGTTTGGAATTTTCCCAATCCAAACTCACATGAGCATCTGATCGATTTTAGAAGCCCAAGTAAGAACTTGTTAACAGCTATAGCCAAAATGAGCTCGGATTCCTGTCTAAAATGGTTTGTAGTTGTTTGTAGTACTCCCAGATTTTCAATGCACCCAGAAAAAAGGATGGTGTAGAGTTGAGATATGTAGAAGAATTCGTTTGTAGGTGTTTTTAACAGTGAAAAAAATCAATAAGAAAAGAAGATCTTTATGAACCAACGTTCATACTTAATTGTGGTTTTGAAATTTTTTCAATCCGAGCAGAAATGAGCGTTCAATCCTTTTTTGAAATACAGTTAGGAACTATTTAATAGTTACAGCTGGAATGACATTGGAACAGTTAGGAACTATTTCATAGTTGTATTTGAAATGACGTGGGATTCTTATCTGCAATCACTTGTAGTTGATTGTAGTTTTGGAATTTTCGCAATTGGAAATCAAATGAGCGTCCAATCGATTTTTGAAGACCAAGTAGGAACTGATTGAACGCTATAGCCAGAATGAGCTCGGATTCAATTCAATTCAAAAATTCAATTGAACGGTCAGTCCAATTCCAATCGAAAAAAAAAATCGATTCTATAATCAACTACAAACGATTTCTGCAAAGTTTCAAACTTCATTTTTTTTGCGATGATTTTTACCCTCTCTGTGCTTAAAAAATGGATTAAACGATCAGTTTCATTTTCATTTTTAGAAAAATTCCAATCCTACAATCGACTACAAACGATTTCAGGCAGGAATCCACTTTTTCTTTGCCATAGCTGTAGAATAGTTCCTAACTATTTCACAGCTATCAATCAGTTCCAACTTGTGCTCCGAAAATCGATTGGACGCTGATTTCAGTTCGGATTGGAAACATTCCAAAACTACAATCAAGTATGAACGTTGGTTCATAAGGATCTTCTAATTCTTTTCACTTTCTAGAACAACTACAAATGGAATCTTCTACATGTCTCAACTCTCTACCACCCTTTTTTCTCGGTGGATTGAAAATCTGTGAGTACTACAAACAATTACAAACCATTTTAGACAGGGATCCGAGCTCATTTTAGTTATAGCTGTCAGCAAGTTCCTGATTGGGCTCCAAAAATCAATTAGATGCTCATTTGAATTTGGATTGGGAAAATTCCAAAACTACAATTAATTATGAACATTGGTCTATGGGGGTCTTTTTTACCGTTTTTTTTCACTGTTAGAAACAACTATGAACAAATCCTTCTACATATCTCAACTCCCGGCCACCCTTTTTTCTCTGTGCATTGGAAATCTGTGAGTACTTCAAACAACTACAAACGATTTTAGACAGGAATCCGAGCTCATTCTGGCCATAGCTTTCAATAAGTTCCTACTTGGTCTCCAAAAATCGATTGGACGCTCATTTGATTTCCGATTGCGAAAATTCCAAAACTACAATCAACTACAAACGATTGCAGATAAGAATCCCACGTCATTTCAAATACAACTATGAAATGGTTCTCAACTGTTCAAAAAAAATCGATTGATCGTTTATTACGATTCCGATCGTGAAATTCCCAGAACTACAATCAACTACAAACGATTGCAGACGAGAATCCAATGTCATTCCAGCTGTAACAATGGAATAGTTCCTAACTGTATTTCAAAAACGGATTGAACGCTCATTTCAGTTCGGATTGGAAAAATTCCAAAACTACAATTAAGTATGAACGTTGGTTCATAAAGAACTTCTTTTCTTATTGATTTTTTTCACTGTTAGAAACACCTACAAACGAATTCTTCTACATATCTCAACTCTACACCACCCTTTTTTCTCGGTGCATTGAAAATATGTGAGTACTACAAATGACTACAAACCATTTTAGACAGGAATCCGAGCTCATTTTGGCTATAGCTGTCAACAAGTTCCTACTTGGGCTCCAAAAATCGATTGGATGCTCGTTTGAGTTTGGATTGGAAAAATTCCAAAACTACAATTGAGTNTCTTCTACATATCTCAACTCTACACCACCCTTTTTTCTTGGTGCATTGAAAATCTGGGAGTACTACAAACAACTACAAACCATTTTAGACAGGAATCCGAGCTCATTTTGGCTATAGCTGTAACCCGTAATAAAAAAAAAATTCTAAGAGAATTAGAATTTAGAGAGAAAAAATTTCCGCTTCACCCAGCCGGGAATCGAACCCGGGTCTCCCAGATACGCGCCGGGTACTCTTACCGACTAAGCTACCGGGAACCACAGAAATTCACTCTCAGATTCACCTCATACACCGCCTGGCACTCTTACCGACTAAGCTACCGGGAACCACAGAATTCCTCCACAATATATTATTAACAAGTTCCTACTTGGGCTCCTAAAATCGATCAGATGCTCATTTGAGTTCGGATTGGGAAAATTCCAAAACTACATTCAAGTATGAACGTTGGTTTATAAGGTTCTTCATTTTTTTCACTGTTAGAAACAACTATAAACAAATCATTCTACATATATCAACTGTTTGCCACCCCGTTTTCTCAGTGCATTGGAAATTTGTGAGCACTACCAACAACTACAAACGATTTTAGACAGGAATCCGGGCTCATTCTGGCTATAGCTTTCAATCAGTTCCTACTTGGTCTCCAAAAATCGATTGGACGCTCATTTGATTTCCAATTGCGAAAATTCCAAAACTACAATCAACTACGAACGATTGCAGATAAGAATCCCACATCATTGCAAATACAACTATGAAATGGTTCTCAACTGTTCAAAAAAAATCGATTGATCGTTTATTACGATTCCGATCGTGAAATTCCCAGAACTACAATCAACTACAAACGATTGCAGATAAGAATCCCACATCATTGCAAATACAACTATGAAATGGTTCTCAACTGTTCAAAAAAAATCGATTGATCGTTTATTACGATTCCGATCGTGAAATTCCCAGAACTACAATCAACTACAAACGATTGCAGATAAGAATCCCACATCATTGCAAATACAACTATGAAATGGTTCTCAACTGTTCAAAAAAAATCGATTGATCGTTTATTACGATTCCGATCGTGAAATTCCCAGAACTACAATCAACTACAAACGATTGCAGATAAGAATCCCACATCATTGCAAATACAACTATGAAATGGTTCTCAACTGTTCAAAAAAAATCGATTGATCGTTTATTACGATTCCGATCGTGAAATTCCCAGAACTACAATCAACTACAAATGATTGCAGACGAGAATCCAATGTCATTCCAGCTGTAACTATGGAATAGTTCCTAACTGTATTTCAAAAACGGATTGAACGCTCATTTCAGTTCGGATTGGAAAAATTCCAAAACTACAATTAAGTATGAACGTTGGTTCATAAAGAACTTCTTTTCTTATTGATTTTTTTCACTGTTAGAAACACCTACAAACGAATTCTTCTACATATCTCAACTCTACACCACCCTTTTTTCTCGGTGCATTGAAAATCTGGGAGTACTACAAACAACTACAAACCATTTTAGACAATCAATTATGAAATTTTGGCTCAAATCCAACCAAGTGGGGTGCCCACTTCACGGAGCTCGATTATAGCTTGTGTCAGAGATTTCTATTTCATTCTTTATTTCTCTTTTTCAGGTAAATTCCTGTTTCTGGAGTTTATGGGCACTGATATGAGCAAATCAATATCATGCGTCATGGAGCTGGTGTTCAGCAAGTATCAGGATAGGAGTTGTTCAACTCTGAAGGATCGTGCAAGGATGCATGCTGGAATTTAAAGGCAACAGTTTGAGAGTGGTGAAATGTTTTTATAAAAATGATCTGTTATTGACTTTTGTGAAGTTTCTCGTCATCAATTATATTTTTATCCAGAAAAATGTAATGAAACTGAGCTTCATAGCATAGATTAATAAAATGTTATTTAACTTTACATTTCTGATTAATTTGGGGGAGACCACGTAGGAATACGTGACATCGTTTCCTATTGGTTTTTAAAATCCTGGTGGCTCAATCGACTGAACTTTGAGGCGATTGTGATTTGGTGTCCTCATTATCCGACTCAATTGACCTACAATCGACCAATCATCTAGTCGTTTCCTATTGGTTTTTAAAATCCCGGTGGCTCAATCGACTGACCTTTGAGTCGATTGTGTTTTGATTGTNGTGTGTATTTAGTCATTTTCTGGGAATGTGTTGTCGATAGGACGATTATAGCTTGTGTCAGGGATTTCTATGTCATTCTTTATTTCTCTTTTTCAGATAAATTCCTGTTTCTGGAGTTTATGGGCTCTGATATGAGCAAATCAANTCGGGAAAAAAAAAAATTCTAAGAGAATTATAATTTAGAGAGAAAAAAAAAATTCTAAGAGAATTATAATTTAGAGAGAAAAAATTTCCGCTTCACCCAGCCGGGAATCGAACCCGGGTCTCCCAGATACGCGCCGGGCAATCGCATTTTCTGCATATGGGTATAGTTTATGTTGCTAACAAATTAACAATATGCTCCTGAATGGNATTGGTTTTTAAAATCCTGGTGGCTCAATCGACTGAACTTTGAGGCGATTGTGATTTGGTGTCCTCATTATCCGACTCAATTGACCTACAATCGACCAATCATCTAGTCGTTTCCTATTGGTTTTTAAAATCCCGGTGGCTCAATCGACTGACCTTTGAGTCGATTGTGTTTTGATTGTCCTCATTATCCGACTCAATCGACCTACAATCGACCAATCATCTAGTCGTTCCATATTCGTTTTTAAAACACCGGTGGGTGAATCGACTGACCTTTGAGTCGATTGTGTTTCGATCGTCTTCATTATCCGACTCAATCGACCCCCAATCGACCAATCATCTAGACGTTTCATATTCGTTTTTAAAGTACCGGTGGGTGAATCAACTCATCCTTCAGTCGATTGCCTTTAGGTTGTCCTCATTATCCGACTCAATCGACACCCAATCAACCTATCATCTAGTCGTTTCCTATTCGTTTTTACAATCCCGGTGGGTGAATCGACTGACCTTTGAGTCGAGTGTGTTTCGATTGTCCTCATTATCCGACTCAATCGACCAATCATCTAGTCGTTTCCTATTCGTTTTTACAATCCCGGTGGGTGAATCGACTGACCTTTGAGTCGAGTGTGTTTCGATTGTCCTCATTATCCGACTCAATCGACCAATCATCTAGTCGTTTCCTATTCGTTTTTAAAATCCCGGTGGGTGAATCGACTGACCTTTGAGTCGAGTGTGTTTCGATTGTCCTCATTATCCGACTCAATCGACCAATCATCTAGTCGTTTCCTATTCGTTTTTAAAATCCCGGTGGGTGAATCGACTGACCTTTTCAGTCGATTGCCTTTCGATCGCCGAAATCCGAAGATGAATCGACCTGCCTAGTAGTCGATTCATCTTCGATTCCAGCAATAATCTTAAATCTGAATCGACCGGCGCTCGAAATAGAATCGACATACTGATCCAGTGGATTGTTTGTCACGTATTCCTACGTGGTCTCCCCCAAATTAGTCAGAAATGTAAAGTTAATTAACATTTTATTAATCTATGCTATGAAGCTCAGTCTCATTATATTTTTCTCGATAAAAGTATAATTGATGACGAGAAACTTCACAAAAGTAAATAACATAGATAATTTTTATAAAAACATTTCACCACTCTCAAACTGTTGCCGTTAAATTCCAGCATGCATCCTTGATCCTTCAGAGTTGAACAATTCCTATCCTGATACTTGCTGAACACCAGCTCCATGACGCACGATATTGATTTGCTCATATCAGAGCCCATAAACTCCAGAAACAGGAATTTATCTGAAAAAGAGAAATAAAGAATGAAATAGAAATCCCTGACACAAGCTATAATCGTCCTATCGACAACACATTCCCAGAAAATGACTAAATACACACGACAATGACCTCTATTAATGAAAATAAAATAAAATAACAAAACATACTAATGGAATTACCATATTCCCAATGCTTCCTTATCCTGCCCTATCCAGAGTGTCCAGGTACAGCATCGACATGCTTCCCAACTCCCAGAAATGCCTGATGACTACTGCACTCCCTNAGATTCTCTCCTTGAGAAAAGGAAATATTAATCGGAATAACTATTCAAATGGAAAGTTCAATAAAATAAACAATAAAACTGAGAGACTATATGACAATAAATTCAAAATAAACTCAGTCAAAACAGAACCATGGGGAACATAACCTCACCTGTCACTTTGACAAAAGCCAATATATTGAAATCTAAGCAATGAAAGCAGGTAAAATCATGAAAATTTATGATTAAAATATGTGGAGAGGAACAGAACACTTTAAAAATAATCAAAANTAACAAAACATACTAATGGAATTACCATATTCCCAATGCTTCCTTATCCTGCCCTATCCAGAGTGTCCAGGTACAGCATCGACATGCTTCCCAACTCCCAGANATGTCACTCGAAAATATGACCTCAGAAAAATCAATAAATGCTGAAAATAATAAAAGTCCATTAGAAACTTAACAAATCTACACTTTGAAAATACTTATCTCAGAGAAAATGTGTCACTATTACATTGCGTTAGGTCATGCGCACAACTATCCCAGCGACAGTCGCTGCTTGCGGTAATGCTCTTTCGAAGCGCCGCTAGGTATCCAAACCTGTAACTAAAAATAATCGAATTAATTCAATTANCCAGAGTGTCCAGGTACAGCATCGACATGCTTCCCAACTCCCAGAAATGCCTGATGACTACTGCACTCCCTTCCAAAGCTCGAGAGACCATTGGTGTCCTTCCTCAAAGAGCTTTCCCACGTGTTACCCTGCATACACGAAAAATAAATTAATATTTGGCAGAATAAATATTTCTGGCCCACCCCGAGCATCCTAAGCCTCAGAACAGATCCTGCAGAGTCAAATTAATAAGAAATATTGTTTAATCATAGTCGTCCTCGCGACACTANTAGTAAGGAGCCTACGATAAACAAATAATAAATGACATAATATTTAGGGACCAGTACGGAGCCCACGATAAACAAATAAAAAATGAAATAATAATTAGGGAGCAATAAGGAGCCCACGATACATTCAATGTGAATGATAAATGCGAAATAAAGTAAATTTATGGGCGATCGAGCTCTGCAATAACTGAGAAAACTGCTATTTTGTCTCGACAAGGCTAACAAAAGAACAAAAGAGAAAAGATATATCGTAGGGAGGGCGTAACAGTATTTGCCACCTCGATATTTCTGGTTAACAAATCTAAATAATTAAACTCTATTAATTCGAGACCAGTAAGGAGCCCACAAATACAAATACAAAAACAAATACANGTTAGCCTTTTGTTAAAAAGAACAAAAGAGAAAAGATATATCGTAGGGAGGGCGTAACAGTATTTGCCACCTCGATATTTCTGGTTAACAAATCTAAATAATTAAACTCTATTAATTCGAGACCAGTAAGGNGTTTCTTTAGGGCAGATCGTCCCAATGTTCCTATGCCTCAAGTGCATTCCTGAAAAGGGAAAATAATATAATCATTTACATGAAATAATACATATTCTATTTCAGCTACCTTATAAAATAAATAAATATNCAAATCTAAATAATTAAACTCTATTAATTCGAGACCAGTAAGGAGCCCACAAATACAAATACAAAAACAAATACAAAACTACTTAAAATTTTAGACGAGTTGGCCCGTCATATTTGAGGCAAGTGAGGAGCTGCGGCAACGAGAAAAGTACTCGCGAAAATATGTCAGATCTCCTAAAATTCTAGAGTTTCCAAGAAGAGACTAAATTTCAGGATCTCAGCAGTTGTATGACTCTTTCAACCATGAAACGAAAACAAAGGCATTTATCATGATCAAGAATATTAACAAAACAATTAAATTTACAATGAAAAATTGAAAAGAAACGTAAAAATACTAAAAATTGTCCGATCTATGTCATCGACGTTTCAAAAGAGAGAGAAAATTATATGTAAAACAGAAATATTGTCACAATAATTTTAATATTGTAAACTACAAAGTTACTAGCAATTTACTTGCAAGCAGCCGAACGCATTATGGCCAATGCAACAGAAAGAGACAACAATGTACTATCTCTCTCTTACATACAGAAAACTACAAAAGAGGTGGAACTGTTCTTCTCCACCGAGGATACCAGCATCCTATTGGCTTTATGGCCCCACCACGGTGCACCTGTCGCACCTACGCAGTCGAGCGCAACTTTTTAGTCGAGACGAAAAGATCTCGGAGCTACAGCAGTAGTATCTCATAGCTGTTCCTTCTGAACAGTCAGTCTGCAGTCATCAGTCTACAGTAGTATTCAGTACTTCAGTATTCGTACTACGAAGGTAGCTGTTCCTTCTGAACAGAAGTATCCTATCGTTGTTCCTTTAGAACAGTCGTCTCTCCGCATTCGTTCGGAACGGTATCCTCTTGCTCTTCAAGCAACTTGGTAAATTAATAACTTCGATTATCAACGGTAATAAGCTTATAGCAAGCTTCACCGAATTTTGTTCAATTCTCCTATGGAGTTTGGAACTTAAAGTTCATTTTATTCAAAATGGAACCCCCCTCTGGATCTCCATAAAATATTAAAACACAGAAATAATTGTGAAACTTAAATAAACCCAATCGATTGGATTTCCGCGATGCAGAAAGAACTGACTAGTGGCTCCGCGAACTGATTGTGTTATTTTAACAAAATTGTCAATTCATTTGATTTAAAGTGAAATAAACACAGTGAAATTAATTTATTGAAGTTTACTCAGTGCACGAGGTGTTTTCCTTGAAATCACCGTCAGTGTTGAAAATCCTTCGAATTGTTCATCTGCGGCCTCTAGGCTGGGGATGGATATTCTAAGGTTTCTTGACAAATAGACGGCTATCACTTAGTCGAAATTTTGGTGACTTGTCTTGCCGCTTTTCCCGCACAGGGGGTAGTTTGCCAAGTTAATCCGATTTTCACTAAAGTGAAAAATGTCAGACAGTTAATTGTCNGTTGTCTTGCTGCTTGTCCCGCACAGGAGGTAGTTTGCCAAGTTAATCCGATTTTCACTAAAGTGAAAAATGTCAGACAGTTAATTGTCTTTGAGTTTCAGTCACGGGTAGCTTTATTGCCTGGACTGTCCACTCGCAGATAATGGCTCACCTGATTTTCCCTATCCCTTTTAAAATAATAAATTCCGAATACTAAATTCATTCGGCATTCGTTAAAATTGTTACGATAATTTTGCCGAGACGACGAGTGATCACCGACGGCTAATACTGCTGTCTCCACTCAGAACCCCACGAGAATTATCATAACGATTCAGAATGACTGACGATAGAGCTCTAGTCGATTGTTTCTGCATCCGACGCGTGAAATCCTTAAAATAATAAATAAATTCTATTCCATTCGAGTGTTCAGTATTTCATCAGTGATCGAGAGTATATATTTTAAAGAACTGTATCTGGTGAGTTTCTATATTTTATTTGAGAGTTTTATTCGAACATTTTGTACGAGAATCTTCGTTCCTGACCACCTGTGGATTCAAGGGCGCCTTCGTTGTTTCGGCCTAGAGAAGCCGAAAAAAAAAAAAAAAAAAATTCAAATAGAATTGAAATCTACAGAGAAAAAATTCCGATTCGCCCAGCCGGGATTCGAACCCGGGTCTCCCAGTTACGCGCCGGGCACTCACCCGGAGACCCGGTGACCCGGATACAAATATCTGAGATATAGCAGAAAATTACAAAACAAAAAAAAAAAAAAAACAAAAAAATTCTAAGAGAATTAGAATTTAGAGAGACAAAATTTCCGCTTCACCCAGTCGGGAATTGAACTCGGGTCTCCCAGATACGCGCCGGGCACTCTTACCGACTAAGCTACCGGGAACCACAGAAATTCACTCTCAAATTCACCTCATACACCGCCTAACCTCCTTTAGGCATTAAGGACGATAATCCGAGTGCCGAGCAGAATATTTTCTTCCTCCGAAGCGTCCAGGAAAAGTGGTAAGCAAATTGAAAATAACCGATACGAGCGGAGATCGAATGATCCTCCAAATTTAAGTCGTGAAGTTACCGTGAACGGAGAATCGAGGATGTCAACTCAACCTGGTAATGGCAAATCATGTTGTAGTCGGCTGCCGCTCGACGGCTATAACTCCATTCGGCTTCCCAAAAATCTCGAATCTTGTTCTTAACTTCATGGAAATCCGTGTTTCCTTGCATTTCTGAAAAATAAAAAATAAATTTCGTTTATTTTCTGAGAATCCAACGGGAATACGTAACATGTTACAATCGACAGATCCGCCAGGGTTGGAGCAGCGAATGCTATTCTCAGCCGGACTAAAGCAGACGACGCGCCGTCCAGAATCAAATTATTTGACAGTCTGGTAGTCGCCACTCTTCTCTATGGCAGCCAAACATGGGATCCTGACCATCTCGATGAAATCGAAAAGGTTCAAACAGACCTTTATTAAAAATGCAAGGTTTATTATAAATGCATTTTTCTTCTCCCAAGAAATAACCTCTGGCTACCAAATCAGACTCGAGTTGGGCATTCTACCTCTCGCCTTACGTGTTTTGCTCTTTACTTGGGACTGGATATGCAAAGTGTTGAAGATGAGAGAGGAGAGATGTCCCCATATCTGCCTAGTGGAACTCATTAGTCTTGCTCGTAGTCCAACCTGCAAGTAGAGTCCAATTAGGTGTCAAGGGTGGATGTTTTTGCCACGATTGGCTTCCCTTCAATGTTCGACCACCTGGACCCAACCTACTGGGTCGAACAGAGGCAAAACTTCGAAGAAGCACTACCTCTCAAGCTGAGATCCTCAGACTACAATGACTATTTATACTCAAGCTCCGCTCAAGTCCAGTTCATTCGCTCTAGATCGCATGGCACTACCAACTACCTCTTCTGGAGAGCAGGAATACCCGCTACAAGAATAGCCATTCAACTCAGACTAGCAAACATCTACGCTTGCAGTATTACTTGCAAAGTTTCGTCCTACAAATTGACACCGGCATCCCCTTCCCGCTATTGCTGTCTGAACACGCTGGAGACCGTCGAACACCTCATACT